TTTGAACGTTTTAATTTGGTTACATATTTACCTAGAAATCAAAAAATATACTAATCAATATTCTAAAAGCAATTTTAAGAGATATACGATTATTTTTAATTTAGGCTAATTTAAACGCCATTTTGAGATTATATTCGACTGTATTTCACCAAACATCAGGCGGTATCCGAAGCTGGAAATCGAAGCGAAAATTTTGAAACCCTTATGTATATTTACATCATCATATATTTCTTACCCCACCCCCACATGATCCTATATCCATCACCAATCGTATACACATCGAATTGTGCTAATTTACTACAAAGTTACGCAAAGCAGCATCTACTATCTAAAATATGTACTGCGTGACTCTTAATACGTCCCTGCCGAATGTTACAGCGTTCGATGATCACGTGGTCTTGTTTATGCCCGGTCTATCTCTTATCTGAATATACTGTAGCAATATACAGAGTGCAACCTCTTTAATCCGAACCCACGTTAATCCGAACACCCAGTAATCCGAATGCCTTCCTTGCAATGTGATAACCCGAATGCAATTGGATAATCCGAACGGTGCCTGTCACGACATGTCACCGTGACCGAGGCGCGCGCTGCCTGTCTCCGCTTCGTGCTTCGTGGCTGTTTTGATATGAATATATCAGTTATCTAGTTGCAGCGTATTGGAGGAGAGCTTATCAGTTTTTAATAATGGAATAACAATAAATATGCCCAAAAGGGACATCCCAGTGAACTGATTTCAGATGATAAGCAAATATCGGTACTGTTCTTGCCTCCCAATTGAACCCCAGTATTACAACCGATGGATCAGCATGTGATCCAAGCTATAAAATTTTTTTATCCCAAAAATCTGCCGAAGAAAATTATGGTTTCCGCCGATGACATTTCACAAACATTAAAATCTGTAACTCTAAAGGATGTTTGGACAATTGCTTGGAAAAATATCAGCCCAGTCATGGAATAAAATTTGGCTTCGTGAAAATCTGCAGGAAGATATCGCGGAGGATGAGACGGAAAACGACCTTCCTCTGGCCAAATTAGCGCAAAACATGTCAAAAGCCGAAAATGTAGTGGATATAGAAAATGTTTTGCATGATATGAGTAGTGTGGACTGACTATTTTTATTTTTTTTTATACTATTTCTTTACTATCAAATAGACATTAATTTACATGTAAGACATGAAAGTTGGTCATCTTAATGTTAGATCGCTTTTGTCAGGATTTTGTCTACTCCAGGATTTTGTGATTTCTGAAAATTCCGATATATTTGCAGTCACCGAAACTTGGTTGAATGATGATATCGGATCTTCGGCTATCCGTATTCCCAATTACAATTTATACATGCGGACAGAATCGGTAGAGGGGGGAGGTGTCGGCTTCTTTCTAAAAGAACACATAAAATTCAAGTTGCTCCGTACAAATATTGATCCCCTTTTGGAAGAGCAATGGATCAGTTTCAGATTCTTGTTCCAATATTCTGCAAACATTTGACAGTATAGAAAATACCTTATCTATATTATTACCATCTGCGGATGTTATTGTAATTCTAGGTGATCTCAATATAAATTTATTGATTAATTCATCGGCTACGGATATTATAAAAAAACACAGAAAATTCAAACTTTTGTACGATTTGCTTTATGTTTTTGATTTCAATGATATGTCAAATTAACAAAATGTTAAATACACTGTGGTTTTATACAGGGTGACTTTGAAGTTGAGTCATTAATTTTCAGATAATGATTGTAGAAGGAAGATAAACCAGAATATGTGTGTAAAAATAAAAAAAAAATTAAAACAAAATTTTTACCTTGTTTTATAAAGTATCCTCCCGACAAGTATTTCAGTGCGGACCTGTATTTGATCGTGAGGTCCCCTGTGAGGTCTTAAGTCACCTGATTCACGAGCCCGTTGTACTACATTAACAAAGGCACGAGGGGTTGGTTGCACTCGATTGGGAAACCGATCCGCATAAACATGTGCCATTTTTTATTTCGTTTGAGCCACGCAACAGACACTATTCACACGCTAACCGACAGACACTGACTGTATGTATAACTGAACTGAATAAAATACTAATTGCAAAAACATCGTTCCAAATTCTTTCGCTTTTTTGTTTCCGATGCGATGAACCGGTAAGGCGGATTATATCCGTTGTTGCCAAACACGAGTACATGATATTATTATTGAGACAGGGCGGTACTCAAACTTCCAAAGGGCTATAACTTTGTTACTTTAATTTTACCAGAAAAATGGTAAAGGAAAAAAACATTTCTTTTGATCAGATCTACTCACTGTTAAAATAAATGACTCAACTTCGAAGTCACCCTGTATAACAGACAAAAAGTAACCAAATACATGCACTATATGTGAATTAAATATGCACATTATATATTAAACGAGTGTTATATAGCATATCTCAAGACTTTTATTGAATAGGGTTTATACAAATCCAATAATCCGAACAATTCGATAGTCCGAATGACTCTTTGCAAAGTGCCGTTCGGATTAAGGAGGTTCTACTGTATTGCATTTATGGCTATTCCGTCTGTGTGGTGAACTAAATAGTTAATAGTTTTCGTTGGATTATATCGTCGCTTAAGTTCTTACACAGTGCAACTCAAAACTGACAACTTTTTAAATGAGCGAAAAAACGGTGGATCTTTGGATTTTCCTCCGACTCACACAAATATCTTGATGGCGCCTTTTTGAGTTAAAAATGTTAAAACCTAAGCGGCGATATGTGAAAATTATTTAAGAAAAACCTATTTCCATCGACGTCTTGTCCGGGGGCCTGTTTCTCCGGAATGTAGAGGTGTTTCGCAAATAGAGAGGATCTAATAAAACAATTTTTTTCCAGAATAGTCCCAAGAGTCAAGAGTGACCCATTGACTTTGTTCCGCATGTTTGGGAAATACCCTGTACATGACTAAGTTAAGACAATACCATCATGCTAAGTTACAAATAAAAAAAGGAGATAGTAAGTAATAAGCATCATAAATCAAATTCAAGCGAATAACCAAATTAAAATGGTACCTATTTACCATTTTGGATTGGTATTTACCGATCCGTTCAAGCGAGTGTGGTTATCAGTTTGGTTATAAGATCCGTGACGTCATGAATCAGCTGTTATATGTCATAGTTATCACCGCAAAATTGTGGTATTTACCCAACTCAGGAGTAGTTTTATATTTCTGGTTATTATTTGAAATGACAAGATAGAATTTTGCCGGGTATTGAATATATTTTTATTGTACTTCAGCTTCATTTTTGGGAAACTTGATACAGGCTGCCTTCAGTTTTAGCACAAAGTAGAGCACCTTATTAGTTATAATCATTATTGTTGTTGGGGACACTTTATGCTTAACAAAGTATCCTGTGTAGCTATATACCACAAGATTATTAAAATATGGCCATATAAACTCACTGGATCATGCCCACCTATATGCGGTTTTGCTAATGACTTTTTTTCATCGCTTTTTCCTATCATTTCTGCTAAATCCATAAATGTTTTCTTTGACATGTTGAAAAGTTTAGAGAAATGAAAGTTATCATAGCTACAAAGCCATGGTTTCATCATTAAAAAATTTTTTCTAAAAAAAAAACAATTCTCCCATTAATATAATGAAAGGTTTCTTTTTTAAACTTTACATACACCGTTGTAGACGAAAAAGCACCGATTATTAAGTTAGTGATAATATAAATAGTCAGAAATTTTATACGAGCTTGTCTAAAATAAACAACTTTCAACAAAACCGCGGTTCAAACCAGCGCGTTCAAGCGATTCGAGTAACTGACGTCAACAACCCGTGTGTCATCTTGAACCATATTATAACCGCGGTACATAACACAGAAATTTTGGTTATTCGCTTGGATTTGATTATAGTGTCAAGCTGAAGCTATGTGCAACCAGGCTTACGCAACTCTCTTATTTCCACGCCATCATCGATGTGCTCTGCTCACAAATAGATGAGGGTTACCCTGCACTGTTACCAGGATACCAGGTGAAGTGATTTTTGACCCTCCCATGGATGCGCGCTTGTATGTCATTTGACATTGCCAAACCTTCATTATCACTATTAAAAAAACAGAATTTACTAGTTAGGTCTTCAAATTATCAGATAGTCATTTTTTCCATACACCAGATTTATGACCAAATCATTATTTTTTTAATTTTGTTTGCATTGCATGTTGTTATTGCCACTTTCTCTCCTTTACTTCCATCACAAACCTTCATACGAATCAAATTCAAGCGGATAACCAAATGGAAATGGTATTTACCATTTTGGGTTGGTATTTACCAATCCGTTCAAGCGAGTGTAGTTATATCAGTTTGGTTATGAGATCCGTGACGTCACGAATCAGCTGTTAAATGTCATAGTGCAAAATTGTGGTATTTACCCAACTCAAGAGTAGTTTTATATTTCTGGTTATTATTTGAAATGTGACAAGCTAGAATTTTGCCGGGTATTGGATATTGTTATTGTACTTCAGCTTCATTTTTGAGAAAAATGATACAGGCTGACTTCAGTTTTACCATAAAGTGGAGCACCTTATTAGTTATACTCATTACGGTTGTTGGGGACACTTTAAATGTAGTTCCAATGCTTAACAAAGTATCCTGTGTTGCCATATACCACAAGAATATTAAAATATGGCCATATAAACTCACTAGATGATATCCACCTGTATACGGTTTTGCTAATTTCTTTTTTCATCATTTCTGCTGAATCAATAAATGTTTTCTTTGACATGCGGAAAAATTTAGAGAATTGAAAGTTATCATAGCTACAAAGCCATGGTTCCATCATTAAAAAAAAATCTGAAAAAAACATTTCTCCCATGAATATTATGAAAGGTTTCTTATTTAAACTTTCCATATACAGTTGTAGACGAAAAAGCACCGATTATTAAGTGATAATAAAAATAATCAGAGATTATATACGCGCTTTTATAAAATAAACAACTTGCAACAAAACCGCGGTTAAAACCAACGCGTTCAAGCGATTCGTGTAACTGACGTCATCAACCCGTGTGTCATCTTGAACCATATTATAACCACGGCACAAAACACAGAAATTTTGGTTATTCGCTTGGATTTGATTATATAAATACAGGCTTATTGATTGACACACTATGAATGTCTACTGTTTTATGCTAGTCATTTTTAGGTTAACAAACGACATTTTACAAAATAAAGTAAAAATTCAAGTAAAGCCCCGAAATGCTAGTATCAAGGGGCTTCTCTTGCGTGCGGAATCTGCAGAGGCTGACAAAAAATGCAGTGCAACTAAAAGAAATTGCAAGAAATAGTCACCAGTACGTACATTGAATTATGTAATCATTCAGGGGAACTATTCCACTCACTAATCTAAACATATTTAAGGGATGACTAAATAACTATTATCTTCCCTTTCAGTTGGAGCTATAGAAAAGGAGCCCCTCCAGCCTCCAAAAACATAATGATGTGCGCTGAAGTTGTGCAAGGTATTGCTTGGTGGTGGGTACTGTGGCATTTGTGGACTGAACCTGACCATATTCTAGTAAGTATCTGCTTGATTGGTTTTCTAATTGTAAGTATAGATTTGTTCTGTTTCTGTGGAGAGCTACCCCAAAGCTGTTCTAATCTGATGCAGTTGAAAAGTGTCATCCAATATTAGGTGCCTATTTGCAAGACATCAACCGTTTTTGTATCATTATTGCTTGGGATTGGCACCAGCACAGAATAAATATATATTTATTTTCCAAGGACTATGGAATTGGATAGCATAAAGTCATTTTAAATGATGCTATTTTCTAGGGGGAATTCGAGTATCCAGACCCAAGAAAATGGACTGATCAGGAGCTGGGGATACCATCAGAATAAAAAAGAATTATTATTTGCTGTAGTGTTATGATTAAAGTGATATTTAGACATTTATTCTATTTGCAAATGCTACACATTCAATATTTACTTTGAACTATTGGTACTTTTCACGAAATGTAGGTACTGATGGATGACAATATTTATTGATGTAAAAGTTATGTGAAAATATACTGACACTGATTGATCCATTAGTGAATACTGAACAAGTGATATTTTCCTAAGACTCACATTGTGTTCTTTTGCTCCTATAGCCTTTTAGATCCTATAAAGTTCCACGTTTTGTCAGTCTGAAAACTATTTCACCCACCATTAATTGTTGTCTGTCATTAAATAGCCATTCATAAAGCACAACAGTACCCTCATCTCAAATGTACGTGAATGCACCTTATAATCAGTAATATAGATGTTTGCATTCAATTTGGGATCAAGACCTTGCAACTAACTCACAACCTGACTCATTTTTTTTTACCCATGACCATTTAGGTTTCTATGGGGTTAGTATAAAAACAAATTGATATTCCATCATTTATTTTATATATACATGAAAATTAAAGTTGATATTTATTGTACCTAGGATATTTCAAATATGTTTCAATGTTTCAAATAAAATAAATCGCAATAAGCTTTACAGTTTTACCATTTCATAATGTGTATTTAAAAATGTGTTTAGAACTTCTTACACTTTTCATTGAAACTCATTTATCTAGGGCACATAGCATGACGTCCTCCATCTACAGGTACTGAAGCACCAGTGATAAAACTAGCCTCATCACTAGCAAGGAATGTTATTGTTTTAGCAACCTCTTCTGGTTGACCAGGTCTACCCATAGCGTGTGTGTCCTTGCACCTCTCCAAAAATGCTGTGTACTGCTCTTCATTCATCCCTCCTCTTTTATGCAGATTTGTAATTGTAACACCTGGATTAACAACATTCACCCTCACTTGTTTTGGTGCTAGGTCTAATGCAGCACATCTTGTGAACTGATCAACAGCAGCTTTTGACACACAGTAAGCTAGGACACCTGGGAAAGCTCTGATGCCATTTACACTGCTTACATTCACTATGTTGCCTTTTGTTTTAATTAAGTGTGGTACAGCCAGCATTGACATGTGGTAGATTGATCTTACATTAATATTCATTAACCTATCAAACTGCTCCAAACTGGTATTTTCGATGCTGCCAGTTTCTATTATGCCAGCATTATTGACAAGTACATCCAACTTTCCGAAATGCTCTATGGTTTTCTCCAAGATGGCCTTGGTGTCCTTTTCACAAGTTAGTTCTCCAGTGATAAGGAGAGGTATTGCTTTTGTAGTACAATCAGAAGCCACCTTTTTTAGATTGTCGAGGTTTCTTCCAGCCAGTGCAAGAGTGGCTCCTAGACAAGCGAACTGCTTTGCTGTTGCGGCCCCAATGCCTGAACTGGCCCCAGTTATTAACACTACTTTACCGGTAAAATTCATGATTGTACTGAGGGCAACGGCTCTTTGTGAAAACTAAGTTGAGAATCAATATTATGAAGCAATCAACCCAGGAGATGTCACTGGTGAGATAGACGTATAACATCAAGGATATTATAATGTTTTTGTAAATGTACTCTATCCTTATCACCTTATTATCATGAAGTAAACACGTCCTTGACCTTGCAAGTCAAGTTATCAGCTGTTATTACCCTTGCCATCCATGGAAAATTTTACTTCGACAGGCATTAACCAGAAAATAAAAACAAGAAGCAAGTCTAGTAAGTAGGACTGCGTAGGACCAGACCACATCAAAAAATTTAAAAACTCAGGAATACAACAAAACTACCTAACCAAAACGACAGGAAACGTCAATTAATTCCACCAATTTCATGAGAGGTTGAGGCCCGACACACGTGACAGCATGCAAGCAGTGTCACCACTTTTCAATTTTAGTTCAACCACCGTTCAACTATCACAGCTTAGATAATGCGGGTACCACACGATGCTTCCAGCGTTGTATACAACGCTGTGTACAAAATTGTTTACAACGTTCGACACCCCACAATTGGCAAGTGGGTCTCTCGCAAAACATATACACTGAGGTGTAGGTGTCTCCTCCAGGATGGGATGAACTTTTTAGTCTCGGACAGTGACGCGCTTGAACCTTTACAACTGAAGGAAAAAATATACAAAATGAACGGTCAAACAATTTTTTCGAGCGCCGAAAAATGATTTCAGGTCTGTCTTCAGCGTCCAATACTTAATTCTGTCAGAAGCCTCAGAAATGTCGAAAAAGGAAGTTTGACCGTTTTTCGACGATAACTCCGCCGCCACTGTACCGATATTGAAAAACTGCACAGCTTTTTGTCATTTTCATAGTATAGTAATCTAGGGTCAAAATTTCATCAAAATCCTGATAGTACTTTCAGAGTTATCATTTATTTAATCGGTTTCGTTAGTTATGAAAAGCAAATCAATATATTTCTCAACTACTTTTGCAATAGGACATTATAATGAAACAATTGTAAGCACTTGATAATTTATAATTTACTAAAATACATATCCTTAGGCCAGCCATAACTCACCTGCGAAACGTACAAAATATTAGCAATATGAAAAAAGTGTTGTTATGGCAGCCCATGCTTGAATGAATGAATCTTGAAATTAGAGGCATTCCGGCCACCATAAGGAGCCAGTGCATAGGCCGCTGAAACGGGCCCTTATGCACCTCTACAATCCTTAGATCATAAGCCTCGCCCTTTTAGCGAAGTTGAGAATCGCCTTGAGTCCAAGCTCCTTGACGGCCTGAGGGTCCAAAGTAATGGACCCCAGTATAGTCTGCCTATAGTAGCTCAGAGCTTCACAGCGACACAAAACGTGCGCCGAGGTAGGTCTCTTCCTCTACCCCGCAGCGTTCACACAGGGGATCCTCAGCCACCCCCATCACGTGCAGGTGACGCCTTAACGTGTTATGGCCAAACAACAGTCCCACCAGCAACCTTAGGTTGGCTCTATCCAGAGATAAGCAGAAGCGTCCATCCTTAGCACTGGCCCTTCAATGAGTTCCCGTGCCTGGCGGAGATATCTGGAGATACTTCTCTATTTCTGAGAGTGTTGTCTTGCAACCCACGTCTCCATTTTCCTCCTAGCTTTATGCGCGGTCACTCCTAGAGCTGGCTCAGGACCAATGAGCTTGCTGGCTGATCCTGTTTTCGCCAGAGTGTCCGCCGTCTCATTGCCCCTTATCCCAGCGTGTCCCGGTACCCATATTAACGATACCGGATGCGAGGCAATCCAGAGCCTCCCTACATTGCAATATAAGACTCGAAGTAATCTGACAGGCACTTAGTGCTTTCATTGCAGCCTGGCTGTAAGATAAGATTGTTATTCTTTTCCTAGGCCCACCCTCCTCCAGAATGTGAGATACACAAGCCAGAATCCCAAAGATTTCCGCCTGTAAAATAGTGGTGTATCCACCGAGAGGCAGAGATAGCTTAGTTCTAGGCCCAGAGACCCCAGCACCTGAGCCCTCTTCGGAGACCGAGCCGTCCGTGTACCAGACCTGCCCGCTCACTCCGGAGAGTCCCAGGCTACCGGCGTCCCACTCCTCCCTCGTTGGATACTCCACAATAAACTTGCGGTTGAAGCGATATTTAGGGGTAATACGATCACCCCTGCTTAGAAGGACGGGGTCCTCCCTTTGTAATTCGACTAAGATGGCAGTATGCCCCTTGACAGGATTCAAGAAAGCCCAGCTGCCCTGACTCCACAGTCGCTGAGCGACTACTCTCGCTTCACCGCGGATGACCAGATCCAACGGTGGGAGATCCAACAGAGCTTCCATTGCACTCAAGGGCGTTGTTCGCACTGCGCTTGTAATACTAACACAGGCCAAACGCTGAATTTTATTGAGTGTGGCCTTAGTAGTCTCAGTTCTAATGCAAGGCCACCAGACCAGGGAGACGTACAAGAGAGATGGACGTACTATAGTCGTGTAGAGCTAGTATACCACATTGGGTTTAAGCCCCCACCTTACCTCGACAACACGTCTACAAGCCCACATCGAATTGCGAGCATTGCTAACCTTGTATTCAACATGCTCTCTCCAGTTCAGTTTGCAATCCAGGATAATTCCCAGATATTTCACTGACTGGGACAAAACTAATCTAGTCCCAAAGAAGGTCGGCATGACCAGCCCGTCAAGCCTTCTTCTCCTGGGTGATAGGATCAGCTCGGTCTTTTCAGCATTAACAGAAAGATCGACCTCCCTACACCACGATTCCACGGAGCGCAGAGCGCCCTGCATAATTTCCGAGACTTTTCTACAAAAACGCCCCCTAACTACTATGCTTACGCCATCAGCAGAGGCTTGCACGTAGACACCCATACTGCTGAGCCTAACGAGGAGTTCGTTCACCACGATACACCACAGTAGGGGTGACAGAACTCCACCCTGAGCCTCACTCACGTTGCAGCTTACGTTATTCAGCATAGCTGTTGCTAGCCTACCCTCCAGAGTAGATAGCACCCAATCTATTAGGATTGATCCAACCTAGTGTCTAACCAAGGCATGTCTGATAGAGTCGGTTGTGGTGCAATTAAATGCACCTTCAATGTCCAAAAAGGCCACGAGTGCCACTTCTCGCGATCTAGAGTCTTCTCCGGCCTACCGACCAGATCTTGTAAGGCCAGATCAGTCGATTTTCCAGCTTGGTATGCAAACTGATTTGCATGAATGACACACCTTTCCAGCGGGCCATCATTTAAGTATCTATCAACTATCATTTCCAGTGTCTTAAGCACAAAAGATGAAAGAGTAATCGGTCGAAAATCCTTCGGGCCAGTATATCTAGCTCTGCCACTTTAGCCTGCCGCCAGCTTCTAGGTGTGAAGCCCGTGGCCACACATGCTCGAAACACATTCAACAGGTAAGGAACAACCGAACTCCGTCCCTGCTGCAACAAACGAATCTACTGTGGAACCTGGAAAGTGCGTATCCATCAGAAGCCTCAGAGTACCTTCCTCAGAAGTAGTATTCCCCGCGAGGGATCATGCAGAGATCCCAATCTTGCTTTAATGTATTTGCATAGGACCCTGTGTATTCTCGCAGTAGCAGGAATGTCGTTCATGGACTGGATTCTCTGGAGGCTCGTTTCCTATCCTCTAATTCTTTGGTCCAGAAGGTTGCCTTGCCCTTACCTTGGACTTTGCGTAACGGGCAGTTTTCCTCATATGCAGCCGTCAAGTCCCTGCTCAGAGACTCGACAGCTGCTTCTATGTCAGAGCCCCTGCAAAGCCTGTATGGGACCGCTCCAAGGTTACTGTCAATGTCTGCCTTAAAGGACCCCCATCTAGTATGCCTGGGATTCCGAGCATATTTATCCGGAATCTCTCCATCAGTCTTAAACAGTATATACCTGTGATCCGATAGAGAGGGTGTTAGAGACAATTTCCAGTCCCTGATGTCCTGAGCTAAGTTAAGCGTGCTCAGTGTTACGTCGATAACCTCTTCTCTTACACTATTGCTGAAAGTGGGCATGTTACCGACATTCAGAACCTCAAGGTTCGATGCCCCTAGGAACTCCATCAGGTCTTCGCCCCGTCTGTTGGTGTTCGAGCTGCCCCCACATAATGTGATGGGCATTGCTGTCGCATCCAATCACGAGGTCGAGTCCCGAATCCCTACAGAATGCGACAAGGTCCCCCATTTACTTGGACGGAGGAGGCTCTCTTGAATCGTAAGGAAGGTAAGCCGAACATACAACCAAGTCCCTGACACTGCCTTCCTTCTAATATCTAATTCTGACTGCAACTAAGTCTCTGAATGTAAATTCTTTAAGTTGATATGTGTTAACGGAAGTCATTACGCAAGCTCTGGGCTTAGTGTCCGGAGCCCGTTTACTGAACCGTTTCTTAGCCAGGGTTCCTGGATGAGAGCCACGTCATGTCGGCCTCGAGTGATCTCCTGCGTAAGAGCCCTCAAAGCCGCTATGCAGTGTTGTAAGTTAATTTGAATGAAATTAAGACTTACCATGGGTGTTGAGAGGCCCCTTTTTTTTTTTTTTTTTTTTTTTTTTTTTTTTTTTATATCGAAACAGCCGCGCAGGCAGAAGCCTAAATGCCGGAACACCGCGGCTGCTATGATGATCCCAAAGAAATTTTGTTAATACGATTTTTGAACTGCCTAAGGTTAGTAGAACTGGGAAAAGCTTCCTCCCGTAGTTTGTTCCACAATCTAGACACCCTCGGGACAAAGGAGCGGTCGTATCGGCCAGTTCTGGATGTACGAAGTTTGACACGGTTAGGATGGGACGCCGAAGTCAGGCGGGTCTGTCTGGCAGGCACATCGCGCGGCGGCATCATGGAAGAGAGCTCTGAGGAGCAAAGCCCGTTGGTGTAGCGATAGAAAAGAGCTAGATCGCCGACGGCCCGCCGGTGCGAAAGAGTCCCGAGGCTGTCTGTTAGAGAAGAGTCATCGATCAGTCGGACCGCCCTCCTCTGGACAGCATCGAGCATGGACAATGTAGTCGGGGCGGCAGCACCCCAAATGTGTGAGCAATACTCGAGGCTAGGCCTTATCTGGGCCTTGTATAGAGTGAGAAGGTCATGCGGAGAAAAGTACTTCTTAGCCCTAAACAAATAGCCTAGCTTTTTCCCAGCAGCTGCAGCTATTGAAGAGATGTGTTCGTGCCAGATCAGGTCCTCGGTGATCTGGACTCCGACCAGCCGAAATGAATGGCTCTTTGGTAGAACTCGACCGTCCATCGAAACTGTATGAGCGCTAGGACGCTTTTTGTTCGTCAAAGTACAGTACTGTGTTTTGGAAGCATTGAACTGTACAAGATTGTTGCGTCCCCAAGCAGTGATAGCCTCCAGGTCTCTTGTCAGAGAAGAAGTCGTCGCTAGTCTTCTTTTTTCCAGCTCAGCGGCAGAGATCGGCTTGTCACTCTGAATTCCTGCATGTAGAGTGCTGTCATCAGCGAAGCTGTGGATTGGGTTGATCGTGCAGGAAAGGAGGTCGTTGATATGTAAGAGAAACAGTGTTGGAGCCAAGACCGATCCCTGGGGAACACCGGCGTTGACGTTGTGAGATGAAGAGGAGAATCCGTCAATTACGACGGATATCTTGCGGCCAGAGAT